TACATTCGCCAGAGCGTTAAGTTCAGATTATTGATATCCATCGCAAGCTTCAATCGCGACAGTTGAATTAAAGCCTAAGGACAGATTAATGTGCAATTGCATTTAATAGTCACGCGTGATCACGGATTAATTCGTGTTGATTGTATGCATCGATTTGACATCTGACACATTTGCCCTTTTTACACAGCTGTAGTTGAAGTTGGCGCGTCGCGGCCCCCTCTGCTGCCATTGCATTGTTCGCAGCTCATTGGAGTACGCGTTACCACCGTTTAATATCATGGGCACCACACGGTATACATGTTTTACGTGCTTTACTGTTTTCATACGGAACTTAACAAAATTAACTGCTAGAATCGTGATTCGGATGACCGCACAAACTCGCTCGGTGGCTCGCACCCTGATTACTTCGCGGGTCCTTTAAACATATGGGTAAACAATTTAGTCAACGGTTCGTAGCGCTGTGTTTCGGTGAACTGCAGTCTACACAGCTTGTCAGCAGCGTCGTCATCATCGTCGTCAACGTAGGGGCACGTGCGCGTCTTGGAAATGTTTAAAAAACGGATAATTTTAAAGTTGAAAATAGATATAATTACCAGTGTGCCTCCATCATTATCATCGCCATCATCGTCAGCATTATCATTGTCGGTTTTTTTCATCTGCAGCAGCATCGTCATTACTCATTGGTTCTTTCGGTCCAGTCACGTACGTAGAAAATAAATATATATCACCATAGTCATTGTCTATAATATGGACGAATATAATCACACGGCCACATAAAAGCATAGTATATGGTAGTAATAGGTTGTTTCTGACGATGAGCGAGAGATGATGGATACACGTGTGAAAGTTGTATGCTGTCACATGTAAAATTCCTACGGCATGCAAAGCAAAACTTTCATAAACGAACCATCACACAGTTTCAAAACAGGAAAAGTATAGAAAAGGAGAGACAAACACATAGCCTTGGACACGCACAACTATTCAGAGTGCTCGCTACTGCATACGTATGAGTGTAAATTTGTATATAAAGTACACGACTGACACCATTACACTTATTTGAGGCCTTGTCCGTCAGCTCTTGTGCAATATATATGTTCGCACGAAAGCACAGATCACTCGCTGAGCAGAGACGACTGCCAGGGTAACTGCTCTTGACAAGCACCAATTTGTGTGAGAGTGGGCTGGCCAGAACCATACCTCACTGCCATTCCCTTCCCACTAGTGATGTTTATACTGCTGGATTTGCCCTCTCTTTTGAGTGAGTCAATCTAAGGAGGCACACCTGAAGGAATTTCAAGAATAAATTCACCTCTGCTTGATTAACTTGAGCAAGGCATATGATATCATTAAGAGGCCAAGGCTTTGGATTTGGGTTGTTATGTTTTTTTGGGTCCCTGACCCTCTGTTCATGATCAACAATGATCTTCATGATTTTGGGCAGGTCCTGATAAACCCTGCGTGGCTGGGAGCCAGAGCCATTACCTGTTCACCTTGGGGTGCGGCAGGGATATACTCTGGTTCCGACACTTTAATATATTTTTTTTAAGCACGTACTTTTGTACAGATACAATGGCTGATCAATTTCCGAGGGTGGATTCAAGGTTATCTCCCTACCGATTATCCATGTTATTTATGCTGATAATCTGGTAATTGCCGCCCACTCTGAGAAGGAGTTGGATACACTGAAGCTGGAACTTGGAGCTGGAGAAAAACACCTGCTTGGATACTCTGTGTCATGAAACACTCCATAGCTGGGTGGTGTGCTCATGACTATGTACGCCTCTTAATCTGAATTTATCTAGCGGAATTATTGTCTAAGCGGCTACGTAATGCTGTGTTTCGTGTCTGCGTGGCCAAAATCAGGCCCTCTCTTCTGTGTTCTTCCAATATTTGAACCTCTTCATGAGAACACCTGCTCTGGATTGAAGAATTCCGGCTGACCTACCTACGATTCATCCTCGATTTAAACAGGCCGAATTGCATGAGCAGCTCACAGATCCCCAAAAGATCTGGACATTGTCCCATCAGTGAGCTCCGACAGGCGGGGAAGTGTTGGCTGGGTCTCATAGCCCGCATGCCCATGCAGCTTTTGTTTGGCCTGATTGAGGGAACTAAACGTGCTTCACGGATAAAAGGAGTGAAGTGCTGATAAGCCCAGGAGGAGTTGGAACTCGGTGGACTTGCCAATGGCTGGTATGAGCAGTGTCATGGTTGGCATCTGTAAAGGAGGCTCATGCATCATGCGATTGAGCAATGCTCACATTGTCGATTAGACCGCTAACAGCTAAACCACCACATGTAGTCACAGTGGAGAGTGCAAATGGTATATCTACCAGTCGTCTCAGCCTGTGAAGTGTAACACCTTGTTCTATCCTCTAACCTCTGGCCAGTGAGCCTTTGACAGTTCACATACCCTCAAAGTGTACCTAGGATGTAAAACATATCATAATGAAGTGACCACACTTCATGGTGAATGGCGGCTGCTGTTGTTTGTGAATGTGCACATGTGCATGTGAGTATATGGGGAGTAGTGGTGCCATGGTTAGCTCACTGCACCACAAACCCGGCAATTTCCATTCAGTTCACGGCCATGGCTAACATCAGTGACAAGTGACGTCTGAACTTTCTGGGTCTCCGCTAGGTCAACTCGGCCTTAAGAAATGCTCACTAACAGCACTTGCCACAGCAGTCAATGTAGGCTATACGGTGAATCTTTGTCTCTCGTGTATAAAGTCAAATCGACACCTGCAAACCCTTTAACTCGCCGCTAAGAGAGAAAAGAAAAAAAATCACAAATAGGATGTTCGTCCGAAAGGGGAAAATTACACGGCGCGCAAAGCTGCGCATGAGCGATGGCTTTTGATTCGGATTCAAAGGGAGGGCAATGATCTCGCGCTGAAGGTGGCCACGGCCGTAAATCGTCGGGCAGCTCGCGAGCAAGCAGCGCGGGCGCCGGCGGGGGTGAGCGCGGGCGGCCGCAAGCACGCGTGACGTCTAACGAGCGTGCACATGAAAGGCCCGGAGCCTCCCTCCGGCACGCACGGCACAGCTCCAGCAACTCGCCCCCCTTCCTCCTCCCCCCCCCCCCAAGTCACAGGGCGCACCCTGGCAAGTGTAGGGTCCCGTCGTCGGTGCGTTATTAAGCGAGGACCAGTTTTCCGTGGCCCGAATGTGTTTCAAAAATGAGGGGGTTTTTTTGGAGAAAAAAAATCTACCCGCCAACCCCCCCGACCACCAATTATTTTTTTGATTGTGCTATCAAGTCATGTCGTGTGAGCGTATTTGTCCGGGTCTCTCGCAGAGTAGTATGACCCTTCATCTTAGAGAACGGCCCACAGAAGAAGATACTGCAGTCACCTCTGAGATCCGGTTTAAGTGATCTCTGGCCCACACAGTGCAGCGGGCAGCACTTTCCAAAATACTGCCACTGAGAACCACGTTACTCGTGTGACCGTCAGCGCTCAATATTTTACGCCTCGAAGCCGGAATTAAGCCAGAATCGGTGACTGTGCTCAAACCTATACTGTAAATCTATACTGGACTTGCTACACTTGAGAACCGAGTTTAATCACAGTCGGCTGCCTGGATTCAAACCCAGGATTTTGCAGTGTCCAGCTCAGCGCTCTGACCTCAGCGACCCAGTCGCCTTCATCCTCGTGAATCGGCGATGCACCTGTTGGACTGTGTGTGATCTGTCTCGGTAGCACGGTGGTTCGAGCTTGGAAGGTTGCGAGTTTGAATCCCAGTTGTTTCTATCCCCCGAGCGGATAGTAAAATGAGTTGCCACATCGTGGCACGTTGTTGACTCGCTTTGATCGTCGCGCTCAAAAAGTTCAGTTTTTGTAAATTCTGCGAAGGCCTTCGTGCCCTTGCCATAAGAATGTACAGTTTCCACCACTGCATCAGAGCTTTTGGCATTAGATGAGCTCTTTCTTGTGCTCATATTATCCGGAATGCCATGTTGACCCTTTTGACCTTCATATTGCATGATCCCTTTGGGGCTACTATCGCTCACAGTATATACACCACTGGGATATTCTGCACGAACTGTTTTATTTTGTTTCAGCCACAAAAAAATCATGAATTCTCTTTTGTTTTGGCATCTTGATGTATTATTTATACTAAATAATTGTAAATATTGATCCTTAATATTTACATCATGCAAAAATCGGAAACAGCATATAAAAATGTGCATAATTTTTTACTGTTTTTAATGTTTCTTTTTATTGATTACATTTTATATATGTGCACGTCTGAAATTGCTTTAACTAAAACACACACAGGTGCACATTAATCCAGAACACGCTTCCCAAAAAGGCGTAGCCCGGAAAACAGCAATCGGCATTATCTCTTGAGACGCGAACCTACGCAACACTTCCAGTGGGGGGCTTTAAATATCCCTTTAAGTTGTTTTGGCATTACGATGTTTTGGCAGAATGCACGCCAAGTTACGTGGCAACAAAAACGAAAACGTAAACAGATAAACAAGGTGATTAGCCATCTGCCTCCCACCTCCCGCATCCCCTTATTGTGGTTTGGCACCATCACAAAGACACGCTGCCCACTTCCTAATTCTTCATGGCGCCTCTTACGTCCCGGCCTCTTCACTTAATAAAGTAGCGCGTGACGTGGACTTTGGTTCCAAGGTGAAGAGGGAGGGCTTCACACTTGGAGTAACCCAAAGGGGCAAGGAGGGATGCGCGTGGGTCAGAGACCGAATTAGAATCAAAGACGAGGCACTCGAGGTGAAAACAAAACAAGGGGAGAAGCCATTAGAGAGAGAGCCACGGCCATGGGAGGGAGGGAGGGAATGTGTGTGTGTGTGCGCGGGGGATGAGCGAGCGAGCGAGAGACGGGGCCGTAACGTCCGGACGTTATGACGTTTGGTCGCAACTATGGGGATTTTTTTTTTTTTAAACTACCGTTGGGTTACAGATGGCAGATATTTATAGAAGTGACAAAATTAAAGTGCAACTCATCTTCATCGACCGAGCGTCAAGCTCCCACATTTGGAAATTTCCTTCGACCATGATGCTTCCCCTACGTGGAATGGAATTGCGTCCCTCTTATGTTTAAAATTCGTCCCCACTGGGAACTTGGACTCGTTTCTTGTTGAATACGAATGTAAGTGCTTTCAAACAATACATTGTAAGTCATTTAAATATATCTTGCTTCATAATTTCCTTTTGAAATGTTAATTTTGCCATAGCTATTAACACTTCATGTTCTCGCAGGTCTCGCTTGGCAAGGAGATTCTTCGTCTCAGTGGGCCCCCTTCAACCCCCACATGAAGTTACCCCCATGATCGTGGAGGCCTTCACCCAGCAGTGGATTGACAAAGGTCCGTGAATTATAAATATTGAATTCGTATACTCTCAATGAGCTCTTAACTGTCTCTTCAATAAAGCACATTTATGGATGGAGAGTTATGCTGTTCAAGTCCAGGCTCAAGACCTTCCTTTCTTCCTCTGCCAATGACCGACTTTGCCTCCCTACAAAATAAACACGCCCCACCGTTTCTGCACAGCGTGCGTTTCAGATGCGGTCGCATTTAGACGCTTGCGTAAAATCCCGATCGCAATTGTATCGCCCCGGCGAGATGCGCTGCCAAAACCCGTCGCGCCTTTCCCATCTTCCCATCCCTCTCTCCGCTCCCCCCCCCACCGCGCCCCCCGCCCCCAGCAGCGAGTGTAACAGGACCTCCCTTCCCCGTGCCGCCGACTCGCTCAGAAGTCGTGTTTGTTGTGCCCTGGCTGCGGCTCGTTGCCGAGCTGTGGCCTCGCGTTTCTGCCACCGAGCGGCCCCCGATGGAGGGCGATAAGGCCGCCGTTCAGGTGCGCCTATCTGCTACATACTGGCTACACTTAGCCCCCCCCCCGCCCCCTCCTGCGTGTGGGCTGTGGGCCCCGCGCAAGGTGCGGGGCGAGCGCGGCGGAGGGGGAAGACCCCACACCGGCAATCGGGGCTCGTTGACATCAAGCGGCAAACAGCCGCTGTGATCATTAATTACACCGCGGCGGCGGCGGCGGGGCCGTGCCGCTGCGGAGATTACGTCCTTTGGAAGGCTAACGGCGGCGCTCCGCTTGTTCAATGTTGACGCGTCGTAAGCTCGCCGGGTTTTTACGGGGCTAGCTGCCGGCGTCGCTCGCTCGCTCGCTCCGATTCGCGTTTTCTGTTGCGCGAAGCGCACGCGTTGCCCCGTTCGGTAGATCCTGCTGCTTGGATGAGTTCCACGCCGCGCCATGCGGGTCGTTGGCGTGGGCGGTTATTTGGCCGCGCTTCACCGTGCTGGTCAGCTGGTCGCTGAAAGGCGGGGAGCATAGATGTATTGTGCCACAATGACCTCCGCTGAGTGCAGCGATTTATCTCAGGTCTCGAGTGAAGTGTATAAAAAGCGAATCGAGAGCAAACTACTCGAGTGATTATAAGTTCGCGTGTTTGCTGCCTACGTCTAATATTCAAAGTCCTTTGTGCTGTGCGGTATTTAAAGTGGGTGGCGGTTTTAGTTGTGTTCTTAAGTGCGATTTTTTATTTTATTCCAATGAAATAGTTTTCCAATTGCAAGATGCCAACCTTCCTCATTGTATCAGTTATTGGAGTTGTTTGACCATACTTCACCACGGTGGTCAGTGCAGGTCAGTGAAGGTGGATTGTTCCGAGACCGGTTCAGATGTTCCCCACCACTGATGTTAGCCATGGGCTCTAAATCGAACTCAGGTCGCCGAGTTAATCTCGCACTCATGCATTGGTGAATAGCGAGAAACGTATGCAGTCCCCTAAATCAAATATGCCTTAACACGTAACATGATGGCTCTAATTTTGAAATATTGTTCCTCATTCTTCGTGTAATTCCAAGCGCCCACCTCTCCATGCTTGTTTGCTCACTTTTCACCTTTTTCTTCCTGTTTTCGTCGGTAATGAATGCTGATTCGTACCGTTCTGCTCTCGGCATACACTCAGATTTGTTTGACCATGCGTGTTCCTTTTCACGACAACGCTCCAAAGCTGCTCTTGTCCATCGCACTTTATTCCATCGTTTTTGATCCCGGTGTGCCTTCAATATCTGCCCGAGGTGTACCTGTTAAAAGACCGAAACAGTAGACCACTTGCCTGACGTGGCACGTGTGCAGACGAACAGTCATGAAGTGTGTTAGGGGCCTCTGATTGGTGCAGGGAGGCCTCTAAAGAGGATTCGTTACGGTCATAGAATTAAACTGATTGGAAGAGAAATTCAAATGTAAAAGGCGGGAAAACGAGGGTGGACCGTCGGGGTCACGGTTGACAACAGTGGGGTGAGCGAACCTTCGAGAAAGGGGGGAGGGCTCGAGGGATAGAGAAGACGATGTCCGAGCGTCAAGAACCGAAGCCCTGGCCTAGGAATAGCGATGGTGTCCAAAATGAAGGCTCTCAGTGAAGCAACAACGTGCGTCGGCGTCACTACACCTGCACCGCTGTGTGCTGTTTGCGGGAACGCCACTCGTGGACTTTGCGGGTGTGTTTCCGAGCAAGAAAAAAACACCACGCCAGATTTACATCAAAGACACAATTGCACACGCTCGCTCGCATGCCAAGTCAACACGTCGTGTGACTGCTCATTTTGCATCTGCGGGGGGGTGGGGGTGCGGGAGATTTTTCATCGCCAGAAAAACAGCGAATCCGTTTCGTGCATTTCGAGCACAAACAAGCATGCGCACTTTATCGCCCGCGATGATGGGAGGGGGCGGGAGGAGGAAAACAGCAGGGGTGGCGATGGGAGCGGCGGCGGGGGGGGGGGGCAAAGGGGAGTTTGAGTGGGGGGCACCAGCAGTGGATCTGACGCAGAGTGGCGGAAAATTACATAACAGAAAAGAGAGCACGCTCGGTGCTTGGCGGAGCTGCACTGCACGGCGCAGCTGTGTGGCCACATGAAAGCATACTTGCATTATCACAGGCTGTGACGATGGCCTCTTAACGCGCAGATGATCTGATGGTGCGCACACGGCTGCGAAGGTTGTAGCACTTCAGACGGGCGACGGCGTTGCCCGCGCATCTCCTTGATCTCCCGCGCTGCTAATGCCACGCCGCTTGCTCTCTGCTGGGCCCACATATATTCGGTGTAGCCCCGTTGCGGTACTATATCGCCTTGAAAGCATCTTCGCGAGTGAGTTAGCCCCATGCGTGCCGTATTTTTCTCGTGTCTTTTAAAAAAACATATATATATTTGGACAGACCCAGGGACTGCGGCCGTCTTCTCCCGTGGCAGAGAGGGGGTGCGGGAGAGGAGGAGGCGGGCGGCTTTTCGACGTCGGCGAGCGCTCGCCGGCCCGCCCGCCCGCGTGCGAGCGATGATGTGCGCGGGCACGGCGAGCGCTTCTTCCAAAGCAGTGGGCACAGCAGGGCGAGATCGCCCGTTCAAAGTGCCGTAATTACGTAAGTCATTTTAGAGAGATTATCGTGGCCTTCGCTTTGATTTGCAAAGGCGGCCCGGCTCGGGTTTATCAGCGTTCCCACACTGCGGGGCGTGGTGGCACTCCCCCGCTCCCCTCCCGCCACCCCTGTGATCCACGTGCGATTCTGCCCCACGCGCCTCCGCATGTCCGGAGCGTTGTGATTCGGGTACCCTACCTATCGACCAACCGGGGTCGTCCACATTTGCGGGTCAACTTCACTTTGAGATCGGTGCAGGCCAGCTGTAGAGCGAGTGAGGGAAGCTGTCGGCGGTGGTGCTCGCAACCATGCTCATCTCGTACGCGCACTACACGCAAACAGCGACCTGTACGTATGTATGTTCAACTTCTTGCGCACCGTACGTAGCCAACCGTGCTAATTGGAGGACCTGAGTTCGATCACGTGATAGCCTCGGTTAACAGCAGTGGTGAGTGATATCCGAAACCGCTCCTGGGCTCCCCATTCACCAACCCACACTGATGAGCGTGGTGACTAATGATCGAACAACCCCCCGTGACCGGCACAGCATGGGAAGGCTCTCATCCAGCAGTGGATTCAGCAGTAGTGAAACTGCATATTCAATTCAAGGAAGTGTGGATGTTCACACAGGACCACGTTGGCTTAACAACTTGAGAATGTGACCGATAGGTCTTTCAGGTGGGCTAAAGGAAAACATTGGGCACATGAATTATGGAATGAATGACTGTCGTCTGTCCCAACATGCTATACCTTGAAACACGTGACCTTGCTTCTGACCACCGTCCACCGATTGTCACCAGAAGTGTGACTGCGAATCCAGTGTGGGATTTAGCCCAGCTCTGCACGTTGCCTGTGTCTGTGTGTGTGTGTCCCACGCATCCCATCACTGTGTGGGGTCCATGCGGAAAAAATGAACTTCACCCCTTGAGTAATAAACAAGGACCTCCGAAGCTGTTGAACTGCCTCGCTTGCCTGTTCTTACCCAAGTGCCCTCCCACCTGTCCTGTGCCCATACCATGAAAAGCACGCGCGTATTTAATAAATCAGCCGAGTAATTGTTTAGAAAATAATTTGGCTCGCGTTCTGCAATACGACTACGACCATCATCCTCATCATCAGCCATGATCTGTTCACCGCAGGGGCGAAGGCCTCCCCCAGCGGACACCGTATCTTATCGTCCCACGATGTAACAACCCACCTTGCACCCGCACACGAGCTGATTCCATCGATCCATCTCCGCAACGTTTGTACTCTTGGTCGTGTTTCCCCCCTCGATTTCCGCTCCGTCATTTCTTTCAGTCACTTTTATTAACAGGCAGTGCGTGCATTCTCTAATCCGTATGTTCCTTTTCCTGTCACTCAAATGTCACTCCAAACATTCTCCATGATGCTTTGCGAACTTTTAATCTTTTGGTGACATTTCTCTTGTGAGTGTCCTTGTTTCTGATCCATATGATGTGGCAGGTGACGTTACTGCACCCTGCTTTTGATTGCCCAAGCCATATATCTTAAGATGTCCAAAAAGTAGAACGCTCCAATCCAACTCTTTCAGATTTTCCCGTTCTATCCTTGCCAGTTATACCTTTTGTCGTATCTTCAGCACGCGAGAGTCAAGCGATCATAATGATAGGCAGATAACAATGCCGTGTTAGATGTATCTGAATAATAATGCATAGCCCTTTGTCAATCCTCTGCTGGGAGAAAGCCTCCCCATGCTGAGTAGGTCCTGGGGATTGTTTGACCAGATATCACGCTGGTGATTGCAGGTTGTTAATATCACTCACCAGTCTAAAACTAAGTTAAAGTTATATTACCATATTATTATATTATTTTATTATGTTTTATTATTATTATTTTATTATTTCCCTTCTACGTCACTTTACCGAAAGAACCAAGGAGATGAATCCCTGCAGTCACGAAAGCTTTAAATCGAAATTTAAGTTAAAATTTTTCTATTTTTATTTTACCAGGTAAGGCCCACTGAGAAAATGTAGCTCTTTTTCAGAAGCGGCCTGGCTATCTCAAATGATAGCCCAATTAAGTGGTTTATCACGTGGAAATGTATAGCAGCCAAATACTCCGAACGCATGTTGGTTCTAAATGTGGAGGGAAAAATACTTGAGGACCTTGAGTAAAATCCACGCAACCACGTGGAGAACACGTAAACTCCAAAGCATACAGCAGCCTTCGTGACTGCAGGGATTCATCTTCTTGGTTCTTTCGGTAAAGTCACGTAGAAGGAAAATAATACAATAATAAAAATAAAACATAATAAAATAATTCTCACGACGTTTCGGCCACAACGCAACCAGCCGTCTACGTGACTTTACCGAAAGAACCAAGAAGACATACAGCAGCCGTCAGGGTCAGCATGGAGCCCACGACCTCCTGTAGAGTAGGCGAGGTAGTTAACACCTCGCCACCATCGGTGCCCATACACGAACCAGGGCCTGCAATCGGATCTCAAGTCGCTGGGTTCTACTCGTACAGCTCCACAAATCACTGTGCCACCACTCCCAGTCTAATCACCTTCCTACTAAATTTCGATTTAAATTTCGATTTAAAGCTTTCGTGACTGCAGCGATTCATAGTCTTGGTTCTTTCGGTAAAATCACGTAGAAGGGAAATAATAACATAAAAAATAGTTTTTCTTTTTATTATTTTATTATTTCCCTTCTACGTGACTTTACCGAAAGAACCAAGAACACCCTCCTACTCGCCGCTGTTTATCTTAATTGAACTCTGCTCTCGTGCTCTTGTCAATTAAATTGTCATCATCTCTCCAGCTATCGTGCCTGTGCGATAACAATGCAGTGGCATATTTCCCACATTATTTTATTTCAATATTGGTTTTTTTTCGGTGGGAGCATGCAAATTGCTGCCTATAAAGGTTCTTTTGTTATCGAGTCAAAGTAATTTTTTTTTCCTTCAGCCTATGTCATGCCGTAATGCGTTCGTAAAAAATCAAATTATATCTGCTCTGTTTCAAAGTTGCTTTTGATAGGAGAAAGAGCTTTTATCTGTGATATGCGCATGCTGGTGTGATTGCTGACTTGCGGGCTTCGTTGAAAATCCAACGCCGAGGTCGATAAGGGGGAGTGGGGGGCAGGGGGCGGCGGGTAGTAGGGGATGTTGAAGGATGGCTCCCACAATAATGTAAGCAAAGCCGAACGCCGCGAAACAAATTGTCCGGTAATATAACACGCATGAGAGAGGCACGCTAATTTCTGACATAACTCTCAAAGAATATCGGCTACAAAGAAAATTGACATTCACACGATATCAGGAAGTGCTATCCGTGTGTTCGCTTTGCTGTTGAACACTCAGCCCAGACGTAACTTTGATGTAGGATAAAAAAAAAAATCTCCAGGTGGCTGTGGGGTGATCGGAGATCAGCGTTCCATCTGCTGTCTGAAGCGCAAATATTCAAGTGCTTTGTTATTTTCACACAAAGTGCCGCTTTTATTGCGGAGTTCTTGTTTAATACGGTAATGGTGAAACTCGTGCGGGGCCGTCTCGCCGGCACGACAACACCTCTTTGGGAAGGTCCCACGTTGGGATGTTTGGCCAATTCCTTGAGTGTATTGCAATCATATTTTTCTAAGAATATGAATCCTTGCAGTCACGAAAGCTTCAAATCTAGAATGTATTGCAATCACTTCAATTTAATTTTCTTAACGATTTTAACTTTTTTAGTCCCATGTCTTTTCGATGTTGAAATTCAAGCGGTTTCACCTGAAGACGGAAGCTTGTGTTGCCTCCGAAACGTCGTGATTTTTATTTTATTTTACTTTTATTAATTTTAATGTTTTACCTACGTGACTTTACCGAAAAAAACCTAAGAATATGAATCCTTGCAGTCACGAAAGCTTCAAATCTAGAATACGGATAAAAGGCCGCCTACGCCTGAGACTGAATCACCCAGAGTGCACCCAATCTCGCTTGGTCTCTTCTAAAGCTATAAAGCAGGTCAGAGCCTGGGTAGCGCTTGCACGGGAAACCACCATGCATTAACAGGTGTTATAGGCTCCGGTGCTATGTGTTTGGAAGCAGAGTGCAGTGCGAAAAGGTCCATTATTGTACTGTGTTGTTTCGCTCCTGCGTCTATACTCTCCCACCTTCAGCAAACTGCACTGAGCAGCGGAATGAAGTATGGTCAAACGATTCCCCATGATTTTGATTTAAAGCTTTCGTGACTGCAGGGATTCATATTCTTGGATCTTTCGGCAAAGTCACGTAGAAGGGAATTAATAAAGTAATAAAAATAAAACATAATAAAGAAAGGTTCTTCACCTTCACCTGAGGGCTGCTTGTGTTGTGGCCGAAACGTCGTGATAATTTTATTATGTTTTATTTTATTAATTTTATTATTTCCCTTCTACGTGACTTTACCGAAAGATCCAAGAATATGAATTCCCCATGAATCGACATGGTTTGGCGTGGGCTTGCATTGAGCGGTGGATTAGCAAAGGGCCGAAATCTAAGAACACCTACAGAAACGTTGGCTTATTTGTGACCATTTGCAACGTGTGTGTGTGCCCACAGCGATTGATCGTTACTTCAGGAGTGGATCAAAGATCTTCCTTACCAAACCGCACCTCTCACCTGGCCTCAGCCAAAACACAGCCACACTGCTCTCAAGGCCCGCTTGGTTCGTTTTATCCCCACACTCAGACATTGCCCTCTGCTGGATCAGCCATGCCTACACTGCACCTGTTATTGGTGTCTGTGTACGTATGACGCGAGGCAGTGTGTGTGTACAGGGTGCGCGTACCGCGTGAGCTACGGCGGCAGTGGGGCAGCGATTAGCGCACCACCCTGTGAACCCTGTCACCCGAGTTCAACTCCCGGCCATGGCTAACGTCAGTGATAACCGATATCTGACACCGTTCTTGGGCCCCGACCTTCACCAGCCGATGAAGGCCTGTGCGGTGAAGTAAGGTCGAACGAGCACCGTGACCATGAATGTGTGGGCAGCCCTTCATCGAGCTCTAGATTGATTAAAGGCTGTAAATTAGTATTACTATACTCGGCGGATATAAACACGGCTCACCTACCGAGAGTTCTTACTGACCTTTGCAAGTGCATTGTTGGCGTCTGTGCTAACAACCACGAGACCCCGTCGCACTCGAAAATCCACGCACTTCCATCGCGTTAACATTCTCGGCGCCGTGTCTTTCCGCTATCACGTCCAAAAACACGCAGCCTCCCGCCAGGGTTGCCTGCCTCACGAGCTCGGACGCGGTGCATTAGCGCCAGCCTTGACAAGCCCGGCCGACGTTTTTTCGAGCGGCCCCTTTATCTGGGCGGCCTTGGCTGTGCCGCACCGCACCTGCCAACCTGCCCGCCCGCCCACCTCGTGCTCAAATTATTTCTCGTGATAATTGTTTTTTTACCCTTCTGTCTGGCAACAAAACTGCTTACCCCGAGCTCTCATACTCTGATGGTGCACTGTCTTTGAGTTGTGCACCTTTTGGCGTCATCTGGTCCAACACCATGTGAGACTAGGCTCTAAGGAAAGCTGTCTCGGGTGTGGACCAATCAACTTCAAGGACAGTGCATACATTATCAGAGTTGTGTTTTTTGTTTGCATTATGACTGCAGGTATTGTGGTCTATGCAAACATGACTCCTTGTAAAAAAAGGTGTCAGTTTTGTTGCCAGATAGAAGGGTAAAAAACCAATTATCATATTTTTTACTGGCAAATGAGGTTCCAATGGTGTCAATTATTTCTCGTCGCGGGCCGGAGGGCCGTCCCTCCAACGCACGGCGGTGGCGCGCGTCGTAGGGCGGCCACCGCGTTTGCGTGGCAAGTCTCGGGCGCGATAGCGCAGAGGGCACGCTAAAGCAAAATTCGACATCAAAGGTCCACGTGGTGGGGGGGGGGGGTGCGCGGCGTGACTCGCAGATAAACGCCCCCCACCCCGTGCGGGTGCACTCTTCGGCAGGCCTCCGTGGTGCACGCAAACAGCCACGTGCCGTTTGCGTCTTCATTCCCCCCCCCCCCATCCGACCGTGGCGGAGCTACTCCCACAAGGGCTACCGGTGCATGCTGGTAGCTCTTGCGGGAGTGCAGCCCGGTAGACGGTTTTTTTTGCTCCCTAAAAAAGGCGGCCGCTTGTCTCAGCCCAGCGGGGTGTGTCGTAACGCTGGCGTGACTTGCAGCGGTGCGAGATATCTTCAGATACGTTTTGCCGCTCGTTTAAAAAACAGGAGGTTTTTTTTTCTCTCTCTCTCTCTCCCCGCGCGTATGCAAAGAAAAACATAAACAAACGAGCGGGCGAGTGAGCAAATAAATAAATATGTGCACAATAGATTAACATACAACAACAAAGCGAGAGGCAAAACTGTAAACGAAATCAAAAATGAAGTCATAAAAGACATTTTTTTTAACAAAAGAGATCAGTGCCTGAGATATATCAAACGTCTGAGATTACAACTTGAAAGGAAACGAAAAAAAATGACAAAAGTGAAAAGTCAGGTGGAAGATGAATTGGAGCGAGATAGTAAAACGCGACGATAAATGGGTGTTTTGTTTTTAGGGTTCACGAAAGCTTTCCCTTTGAGACCGCTGTCCTCCCCACCGACCCAGCAGAAGACTCCTCGTCGACCTGGGCTCGCTGAAGTCACCGTGGCGAAATGTTAACTACTTCGCCTGGTATACAGGAGGTCGTGGGTTCGATCCCTACCCTGACGCCTGCATATTTGGAGTTTGCATGTTCTCCCCGTGGTCACGTGGATCTAGAGTATTTAGACGGTATAAATTTCATTTGAGAACTATACAGCTCAGTGGGCCTTACCTTGTAAAATAAAAAAAATAGCTTAAGCCCTGCCACTCCTTAACGGTGCTCCACAATCGACCGCATGGCCATGAGGTGCCACCAGATATTGCGCAATAATCTGCTCGTGGCGTGTGGCCGCCGCGGACAGTTTCAGTGGAACTCGTAGAACAGGCCGGGCTGTTGGATGCCGTGTGGTTTTTTTGTTGTCCGATAACGTCACCGATAGGACGTCGCGACGAGATGGCACAATGCCGAGGGACACTTGATTGGACATCCAGGCATGTGACGTCGCCTTTGACCTTGTGAGCATTTTCGTTTCGAGTTATTCTCGTCGTCATTTTGTAAAGCCAAGCATGACGCAGGCGATAGGTCTGGGAGGCGCACGGTCACGTGCTGCTTGCATTTTTATGGGAGACGGTGGAGTTAGAAATGCATTTTTTTTGTATGCATCTTACGCAAGCGGTTTGCGTTCGGAGCTTCACAAAACTGTTATAAAATGCACGTGGAAAGTGCATTAAGTGCTTGCTGCTGTTTTGTTTTCATTGAGGGGTAGCTTTACAAGCACGCGCAAAAATCACAACCTCTGCTTTTTATTGTCTCTCTATTTTTTTTTTTTTTAAATACAGCGCCGGTACATCCAAGTAATTTCTTCCCTTATAAATGTAAGGCAACGCTAATTCTAAAGTAATCCGAGCTTGGCAATTATATTTTACAAATAAACATATCGAATTCTTGTAAAACTGTCGGAGTGGAAGATCAATTGTGTGCCCGCCGTACAAGAAAGGGGCCAGCGGTCACCGAAACGTCATTAAATTATAATTATCCTCTTTCATTTTCAGACAACGCCAACTCCCACGAGCTCGCACGCTCGCTCGCTCTCTCACCCTAAGACGGACCATGGCGGTTGTGGAAATGCTTGGGGAGTGGAGGAGGGGGGGGGGGGGCAGTGGAGGTGGGGGGGGTGAAACAATTTTGGAGAAAACGCATTTTAGAATTCCTCCTCCTTGGTGGCTGGCTTTGGGTTGGTGAGCGACAGCCACCGAGGTATAGTGTTCCCAATAAAAATGGTAAAGTGGCGGTGGTTGTTAAGTTCAAAGGTCACCATTCACTGCTGTTGGTGTTTTGGTTGTGGGAGGAGAGCAGAGAGACACAGAAGGGTCACTCGCTCTAATGTGGAGCTCCTGGCAAGCTGAGCAAGACAAATGTGATGTGCCCGAATGGGCAAGGGGCCCTTTTAAGCTGTCACTCTTTGCATTGCCCGCTTAAACCCCTGAAAGTGTTTTTGTTTTGGCTCGCTCAAAACAAAAGGTGTTATCGCCTGCACATTTCTTTCTGGGTTTTTTTTTCTTCTTTTTAGTTTTTTTTTTTTAAGGCCCAACCGTGTCTCTTCTTTAAAAAAAAAAAATTGCAGCGGGGAATCCTCTGGGCAAACACGCACCTGTCTGTCACCGGAGTGCGTTCCCACAGCGCCGGCTGATACTCCTGGGATCACCTTACCCCGCGCAGCCTCCGCCGCGGTCTTCGGCCGCCTCGGCCCGTCAGCTCGACCGCCGTCCCCTAATCCTGAGCCTGCGGGACCCTCGCGAGCGTTTTGTCACCGCGCGGAGAGGTCCCCCAGCATGGGTACCCCCCCCCATCGGATTGATTTCCCCGTCTCACGAGGCTTAAGTGCGGGCCCCCCTTTAAAAAATGGAAGTCAACTTAAATTACTTCTAGATTTGAAGCTTTCGTGTCTGCAAGGATTCATATTTTTAGGGTTTTTTTCGGTAAAGTCACGTAGGTAAAACATTTAAATTAATAAAAGTAAATTAAAAATAAAATAAAAATCACGACGTTTCGGAGGCAACACAAGCTTCCGTCTTCAGGTGGAACCGTCACAGCATGATAGCTGTTTCAAGTGACTCACTTCATACAGCTATCGTGCTGTGACGGTGACTCACTTGATACAGCTATCGTGTTGTGACAGTTCCGCCTGAAGACGGAAGCTTGTGTTGCCTCCGAAACGTCGTGATTTTTATTTAATTTTTATTGTACTTTTATTAATTTAAATTTAATTTTTTTACCTACGTGACTTTACCGAAAAAAAACCTAAGAAAACTTAAATTACGTTCGATAATTCCAACACGCGTCGTCGTTCAGCTGTGGGTGTCGTCTTGAGGCACCCCTCCGTGATTGTGAGTTTGGAATTAAAATGAAATGCGATTGAAAACGTTTGTGTCAGGTGCGGCACGAGGCGGTTATTGAACTTTAACTGCGTGCGCGACGCGTTATGATCAGCTTGCGTTGATCGCGAGGGCTGCGAGGAGTGCCCTTCGTACACTTAGCGATAATTGCTTTTATTAATTGCGTAAATGACACGGCGATCTAATCGTTACTTGTAAATACGGGCAAAAAATGGCGTAGGAGACAGAGCGGAAGAAAATGAGGACAAAGTTGCATCCCGTTTGCCTTTAAAAACCATTACCTGCCGGTCAATTTTAAATGGGCAATTAGATCCGCTTAGAATGCACTTAACATTCGTAATGTGAATGTCAGCACTTTAGAACCATACCTTCCTTTTAGTGTCTCCCATTCAAAAAATTAAGTTATATTTTAAACTCCATGCCGCTTTTTAAATTTACATTTTGAATCGTTAATATTTTGTGTGCGTGTTTAGTTTTGTTCCGCGTCGCAAAATCTTTGGACCGTGTGCTGCGTTGTTTCTTTGACCTTGTGGCACCGTCTTGCCATAGTGATGCAGGTCTTCCATGAAAGAGACTCTTTCAGTGTCCTTGCCGCCTCACCGTATGTTTTAAGCACGTTATCTCGATCGATTGTCTCACGAGAAGTGAACGTGCACATCTATGTGCCATTACTTCCGCATAATGCGTATTCCGTAGTCTCTCTGATCGGCGCTACC